TTAGACTCTTAATTCCAGATATTTATTGAATTCAAATTCCACTATTTGCCATGGTGGGATTCAAACCCAGGTCCCCAGAACATTACCTAGGTCTCTGGATTAACAGTCTAGCAATAATACCAGTAGGCCATTGCCTCCTTGTAATTGCTATACATGGTCCATGTTTACAATGCATATGGGAGAGTGGGGATTATGGCATGAACTTGGTGCTGGTTTTGAGGCTTCAGACTTCAAACACTCTGTTCCTCAGTCTTCCAAACACCTGACACTAATCCATGATCTCATCACCCTTTGTCTGGAGGAAAGGGAGCATCTGGGAGATCTCGGAGATGCCATATTTGTGACCATCTTCAAGAAAAGAGGCAGGTTCAATTGTGCAAATTAGAAGGATTTCCCTGCTGTCCACTTCAGGAAAGGTCCTCGTGAGAATATTCCTCCACCACCTCCCAATGGCTGAAGAGCTCCTTTCCAATTCTTCGTGCAGCTGCTGGACATCAAGAGGCACAATGGATGATTTTTAGTGTGTGACAAATGCGAGAAATGTACAGGGAACATCACCAAGCACTATACATGGCCTTCTCCAATCTCACAAATGTCCTCGACTCTGTCAGCCATGAGAGGTTGTGGAATATCCTCCTGAAATTCGGTTGCCTGAAGAAATGCATCATCATTCTCCACCTGCTTCATGTTGACATTGAAAGCCATGATCTTCATCAGTGGATCCACCAACAACCCATTCGAGTGCAAATTGGGATCAAACAAGCCTGCATCATTGCACAAATCCACTTCTCCATCTTCCTTGCTGCAACAATTCACCCCATCTCCATGAAGCTTCCTATTGGAGTGGAGCTAACCTACAGAATGAACAGGAAGGCGTTCAACCTTTATCTCCAGGCCAAAACCAAGACCACCCCAATTTCTGTCATTGAGCTGCAGTATTCAGATAGTGCCTGCGTGTGCGCGTGCTCAGAGGCCGAGCTACAGATTGTCGTCGATGCGTTGACTGAGACATATGGGAGAATAGGCCTCACACTAAATATTTAGGAAACAAAGGTTCTCTACCAGCCCTCTCCTACTGCAGATAGATCCTGATCATCAAAATCCAGGGCAAGCCCCTGAACAACACAGATCATTTTCCATTCCTTGGGAGCCACCTCTTGCTGCGAGCAGACATTGACAATGAAATCCATCATCAACTCCAATGTGCTAGTACATTTAATAGTAAAAGGGTGGAAAAGGGCAAGTAGGGCTTATATGGACCAGAAAGAGGATTTACATTTCGAAGCAAGAGACGTGGCTGGAGTGTTAAATTAATACTTAGCGTCTGTGTGTGCCTATGACCATGTCACCAAGGAGGGAACTCCATCAATAAAAGGGTTTAAAATTGAGAAGGTGGTATTGCACAAGCTGTCCATAATTAAAGTTGATAACGATGTTTGCTGATGACTGTACCGCATTTAGCACCATTTGCAACTCTTCAGGTATATGAGCAGCTGGACCTAGACAATATCTAGGCTTGGGCTGACAAGTAGCAAGTATATTTGCATGTGTACAAGTGCCAGCAGTGACCATCTTGAACAAGAGAATTTATTCATTACCATTTGTCATTAAATGGCATTATCATTGTTGAATCCCTCATTATTGATATCCTTGGTGTTACTATTGACCAGAAACTGAACTGAACTAGCTATATCATTTTTATGGCTACAAGAACAGATCAGAAACTAAGAATCCTGTAGTGAGTAGTTCAACTCATGACTGTGAAAAGCCTGTCCAAAAGGCATAAGTTCAAGACAACAGTACAAGCATACTGCATGCCCAGCAGGGGTAGCTAAGTACTGTCAATGTGGAAAAGTAGAACACTTCAAAAAATACTGTAGATCATCAGCTGCTACATTTCCACAGAAACATAGAACGAATTACAAGAAGGGAAAAGTCCAGAAAATAAGAAATCAATGAAAAAGAATAAATCCGAGAAGTCAAGGATAGATGTCACAAAATCAGCCAACGTTTCCTTGAAGTCAAAAAGACCTTGCAGTGGAAAAGATCTAATACTGAATTGAAACTCAATACAAGGATGGTTGTTTCAGAGTAGACTAAAGGTCTGCAATGGTTAAAATCAGAGGATATTTAACCCAAAAGCATCAAACTGCAAGACTCATAGGCACAGATCTTCAGGCAGCTAGTCAGTTTACCGCCAAACATAGAACATGAGAGATCAAACTCTATCCATATTGAAGAACCAGAACACTGTTGCCTATTCGAATTGCATACACTCAGCTATGTCTCTTGGAGAGAGTGGAAGCAGTGCTCTAAGTTGAAAATAGAAGATAATTTCACTATGAATTTCCAAGATTATGCAGAGGCCTATGCAAACTGAAACAGGAGCACCACATTAGTCAGCAAGAAGGTACTAAGCCTATGCCTGTACACTCTGAGGAAAGTGCCTCATTCATGATTAGAAAAAGTGAAGGCTCATTTAGACAACTTGTTAAAAAGCAAAGTCATATCACCAATGTCTAAGCCAACACAGTGGTGCACAGAACTAGTAACTGTTCCCAAACTGAATAGAGAACAACAGATCCTATTGAACAAAAGCAGTGGCCTGAAGTCATCACTAAATGGCCAGTTGAGGACGTTAATTGATATCAAGGTTGATCATGGGCCTTTGCCACCCAGAAATTAATTCTTACACAGACTGGAAAAGATGGGGTTTAAGTGTGCCACCATCCTACCTAATTAAGTGCTGTTTCAGCTGTGATGTTTGTGCAGAATGATATGATGTTGCTTTGATACAGTGACTGTAATGCGATAGCGAGTGAGGTTGTGTGTGTGTGTATGTGTGTGAGAGAGAAAAATATGTAACAGTATTGTTCCTGAATCATTTTGAAATAATACAACAATTAAACTGTACCCCATGTGTACCCTTAGTACTATTTCAGAAACAGTAGCCACTTTCTAAGGTCAGGTGTTATGAAATACAATAGATATCAGAAGGCGGAAGATACAGGACAGCTTTACATATTAAAAAAAAATGTGTAAAACTTCATAATATGAATGACCCTTTTAAAATGGATGCATGCTAAACCTAAGTATTTTTGATAGCAGTGTCTAATCAGATTGTATACAAAGTATCTACATCCTAGGTGTTACCACTGACAAGAAATTTAACTGGACTGGTAATATAAATACTGTGGCCATGATTTGTGCCTCCCTGGAGGTGGTGAAAAAGATAAATCATTGGGCATGTTGGCCCCAGAGAGAAACTCATCCATCTCAGCAATTAAGTACTGGGTGAGAAAGTCCATGGGTGACCTTCTTGATTCAGCACCTATTAAGGGACCTAAAATGGTGAGTTAATGACCATCCAAGGGCCTCGAGTTCCCAGTGGCCCAATTACCCACCTTTGTGGCAGGGAAAAAAGTGTTGGTTTTCTTTACTGGAAAAATAGGCCTGCCTGCCAGGCTAGGAGAGATATCTTACTTTCCTCAGTCTGGATCAGTTAGGTACAGGGATAGGGAGGAAGGGGGTAATTGTTGATGGCCATCTCCTGCCCTTATCCATGACCCACTGACCCTTCCCAACCCCAAACTTACCTTCTTGCCTGGGTCTGCTGCAGTGATCTTCAGGAGCTAGAAATTGCTGACCTCTGGCTAGTAGCTTCTCATCAGGCAGAACTTTAGTAGCAAGTTTTGATTCAACAAGCTTTCCCACTCATGTGAGTCAGAGTTAGTCGCCCTGAAGATGCCCAACCCAGTACTTAGTGTATGGAGCACTAAATCTTCACATAACAGCTAGGACATCTACCTGATTCCCCAAAACCTATTTACTATTTACAAGGCAAAAGAAGGGATTGTGATAAAATACTCTTACTTGTCTGAATTAGTGCAGCTCCCAGCAGTACTCAAGAAGCTAGAAGCCAGCCAGGACACAACTCCACTTCAAGCATTCATTCTGCACACTACCAAAGCACTGCAGCAACAGTGTGTACCATTTAAAATTTACACTTACAGCAATTTGCCAAGGTTCTTTCAAAAGCATCTTCCAACCCTTCAGCCTTTACCACCGAGAAGGACAAAGGCAACAGGATCATGGGAACACCAAAACCTACAAAATTTCCTCCAAGCCACACCCCATCCTGACTTGAAACAGTCCATTCCTTCATTGTCGCTTGATTTAAATCCCTGGACTCCCTTTCTAATAATAATGTAGGTGAACCGCCAAATTATCACCTTATCAAGGGCAATTTAGGGATGAGCAACAAATGCTACCTACCATCTACTGGGAATGGGAATAAAATTGGTGTGTAGAAAGTGAATAAATCAAACTTTTAAAAATCACCATTTTTTTCCTATATTGAATGCAGAAGAAGGCCTTGCAGAGAACATGCTACAAAAATGGGAGATGTTGAGATTTGTTTTTACATGTGCACAGGGCAAACATACATATTTGAGGGAACTAAAACAGAAACTGAAAATTACTATTGCACGAGCCCTCAGTTAAGGGATTAGAACCGAAGAGAAGTACTCATTGCGGAAGAAAGATCTGTAAGCTCCTTATACCAACATCCCAACCATGTCTCATGATTTATTTAATTCTAAAAAAGAAGGCTGCCTAAAACTTGCCAACAGTGGTGATGATATGGGAATGTTATTCCACTTGCAGTCATGCAGGGGTATTCACAGACCTATGTATCTGAAAGTTAAGGATGTGAAGTTAATCTAGTTTTCTAAGTGTCTTATTGAATCCTTTACACATTCTAGCATTTTGCCCACAACTGTTGTCAGGCTAACAGGTCTACGGTTCTCCATTTTTTTCTCCCCTTCCTTTCTTAAAATAGTGAGGTTGCACCTGCCACCTTCTAATCTACTGAGATCATTTCCAAAGTCTATGACTTTTGAAGAAAAATGACTAACGCATATATTATCTCAATAGCCACCTCTAAGTTGTAGATAATCAGTTCACCTAATGACTGTAACTCCCTTGTTCTGGCATTCCAGGAGCTGTACCAGGCCAGGTTCCAGGAGGTGTACCAGGCCAGGTTCCAGGAGGCATTTCAGGTAATTTCATCTCTAATAACAGTTTAGATGCTTGAGATGGTTTGAATGAAAATGTTATTCCAGGTTTTGCAATGCACTCAGTTAGAATGCATTTACACTGAAAACTGTATTGTATTTCATTTTATTTCAATGTATAATCATAGTATAATTCCAGTGTCTGTACTAAAGCTTCAGCATTCTTATAGCTGTTTGTGAACTCAGTTCTGGACATAACAGCGTCATAGTGGCAACTGCCGCTATTGACTTCAGAGCCAAGATGGTACAAGTGTTAGTTGCTATTATAGTCACCTGTGATTCAGTGGAAACTGTCATATGCGACAGCCCCATGGTGACCCTTTGGAAAGAATTGTCTCAATTATTTACACATGCTTGATGATGAGATATTATTAGTTGAAATGTAGATCTTATTTTGTTCCAAAAATAGTAACAGATTCTGATGAAGAGTCACTGGACTCAAAACACTAACTCTGTTTTCTTCCCTCAGATGCTACCAGACCTGCTGAGTTTCTCCAGCAATTTTTGTTTTTGTTTCAGATCTCTGGCATCCGTAGTTCTTTGTTCTGTTTTCTTGTGATCTTAGATATTCCTATGATTTCTTTGTTGGATTTGAATTATTTGCATTAATTTTGAATATTTCCGATATGGGCTAATTGGGTGTGAGGAACTTCTCATGGCTATCAAAATTCCACAATGTCCCACTCTATAAGTGGCTGTTCTGTTTTCCATCATAACTGGTCGACACTTTGAATTGCAGGTGGATATGTAGCAACTAAAGCTGCTAAATTTGGAGACAAGTGTTTCTATTTTTGTCATTTGTAATAGCATTGAATTTTAGTGCATTATCAAGCTCAGACATTTTTTTTAAAGCTTTGAATACATATAGCAATTAATTTAATCATTTTTAAAGAGTAAGTATATTTTAAATACTGCAACACTCTTGCTACACCCTCTGAGTATGAGTTTGGAATTGATTTTTGAGAGAAATATCATTCTGCAGTTTGCCTTTGAGAAGTCAAATAGCAGAGGTTGTTCAGTTTGGAGAACCACAATACATGTTATCTGGGTACACGGAGCTTGGAGTTCCATAATTCTGCCAGGTATTAATTCTGCCAGGTATTTTATAGAGGGTATTTGTCCAGAGAAAAACAAGAAACATCCTGCCATTTGAGCAGTTGAGCAGAGAACATCCCAACCATGGACATACATTAAAATAACATTCTCCTGTAATAGTGAATAAGCTTTTGATGAGAAATCTATCTAAAAAGTATAAAAGCAGGAATCAGAGCAAAGACATGTGGCACCAGAGGCAGTAACAGAGTCACAATTTGTTCAATATTCTTCTCCCTCATGTAAGTGATGTATGTCAAAGGTGGTGTAAATCTGGTATTTTTCCAAAAGGCTATGGATACTAAAATAGGGCTAACTGGGACATTAATAGAATTTTACTAAGTAAGGGCATCAAACAATATTGATCATAAATTATAAATTAGCCATGACTAATTTAAATGATAGGAATATGAGACCCTTAAACCTGCTATACATTTGATCATTGGCCTTAGTCACTTGCCATATCGAATCACTACTTTTACATTGGCAGTTATGGAAGACTTACAGGCATGGTGGAAGTTTGCAATATTGTTACCTAACATTTCATTCCTTAAATCGCTCCCTTCTAGCTTCTCCAACCTATGTTCATGTCACCCCTTTGAATTTAGCACTTCATGTGGTCTTGCTACCCACACTGTATCAGTTACAGATAACACTACCTCTAATCACTGCCTAGTGTTACCTACTACCAACATTTCCTTCTATGCCCCAGTGTTATCTTTTATTGTATCCATCCCTGGGAAGAAGTTGATTTCGTCCAATTCACTTATAGTTCTACTTGCAAAATCTCTACTCTCTAGTTTCCATTCCCCACAACTTTTTTTCAGCTATTTATTTGCTTCACTACTCATCTACATTCCTCCAGGACCTGGACCTGAACCTGAAGTGATACTGTTGTGGACAGGCACTAGTAATGTGTTAATTGTAACAATGCTCTAACAATATCTCCTGAGTATGTGCATGAGGAGCTATGTCATGATGATGTTAGATCACTTGGGACTGAGTGCTGATGGAAAAAGGCACTACATAAGACCTGCTCCACCATGCTTCTATATATAGTCCAAAGTTAATAAATGATAACAGCTTGTGCTACCATTGAGTTCAGTCCTCATCTGTTCCAAGCTCCAAGGAGCTGCTGGCAATATTCCTAAATGTTGATAATTGGAGACAAGATTCTAAAAACGGCAGTGAATGCTGAGAAAAAGCTTGAGGAAAAACACAGTAGCAGCAATGATCAGCTGGTGAAGGACTTTGAGGCTAGCCAGCAATTGGACCACAGGGAGGAAATCTGCAAGGACAGCCCAGCACCTAGCACAGATAGCACTGCAAGAGACACAAACCTCAACCCACATGAACAATGAACTCCATGTTATCTCACCCAGGAGCTTTTCGGAATGTAGAGGTCCCACACAGGCTTAGAAAGACTTGAGCAGGTGTAGACCATTTAGAGCGTTCAGTTTGAAGAATGCAACTTTAAGGCACAAAGGCAGATAAGTATCAGAACCACTGTCTGAAATTCATAACTAACCTTATATACCGATAAGCAGGAAAGCCTGTACAGGTCTGAACCTCATCCTTAAGGTGGAGTCAACAAACAGGAACATTTATGAGACAATTTCCAACATTCTTCAGACGTCAGGAAAACTGTATAAACACTGCAGGCCATACCACACAAAAGGCAGATGCCAAATGCATTTATCTGTTTATACCAGGAAGGTCTCACACCCACTTCTGAAAAGGGTAAGAAGTGAAATCGCAGTGATGTTTAATCAAGAAGCTATTTCTCCAGTTACTGAATTGATCATATGGTGCTCTGCTATAGTATTAGTTCCAACCTGAGTAAATCCGTTAGAATTTATATGACTTTACACATTTCAACAATGTATTGCAATGACAGTTGCACCCTATCTGTGATGAGAACTTAACTAAAATTGTGAACAGCACAATCTTCAAGCTGGATGCACCAGCGGAACCTGTCAACTGCCAGCAGATGAGGAGTCCAAACTTCTAACTACTATCGTGACCCTTAGGACTTTGTTTTAGGACTTTGTTGTTTCAACTATCTACCTTTTAGAGTCAGATCTGCATCAGAAATTTTACGAAGGACAATATCCAAAATAATAGGAAGTGTGGAAGGCAACATATGCAACAAATCTGCACACACAAAGGAAGCAAATGTACTGTAACCAAGGTTGCAGACAACACAAAAATATGTGGAAAGGCAAGTTGCAAGAGGGATACAAAATTAACAGAGGTATATTTATAGGTTTAGTAAGTGAGCAAAATGTTAACAGATCGAGTATAATGTGGGAAACTATGAAGTTGTTTATTTTGGGAGGGAGAACAGAACAACAGTATTATTTAAATGGAGAAAAACTGTAGAAAGCTGCAACACAAAAGGACTTGGGCTACTTGTGCACAAAACACAGAAAGCTTGCGTTCAAGTGCAGCAGGTAATCAGAAAGGCTAACGGAATGTTGGGCCTTATTTCAAGAAAGTTTGAGTATAAGAGTAGCTGCTGGTGAGACCAAATCTGGAGTACTGTGGGAAGTTTTGATCGCCTTATTTAAGAAAATATATTATTTCATTAAAGGTAGTTCAGATAAATTTCACTGGGATCTTATGAAGGAATTGTGTTATGAGCAAAGGCTAAACAGCTTGGGACTCTTAACTCATTGGAGCACAGAGGAATGAGAGATGATATCATTGAAATGTGTAGAATTCTTAAGGATAAATGCGGAGAGGATGTTTCCCGTCAAGGGAGAGTCTAGGTCCAGAGGACATAGTCTCAGAATAAAGGGGCAGTAATTTAAGACTGGGATGAGGAGGAATGTCTTCTAGAGGGCTGAGTGACTTTGAAACTCTGCCACAGAGAGATTTAAGGCTGAGATAGGTAAATTCTTAATCAGTAAGGGAATCAAGAGTTATAGGGAGAGGACATGAAAGTGGACATGAGGAATATTGGATCAAGCATGATCTGACTAGAAGGCGGAGCAAGCTCAAGGAGTCAAATGGCCCAATCCTGTTCATACTTTTTATGGTTATTATGGTTTTATGTCACATGCATGACATTTTAATCCATAAATCAACAAAAGAACATGACAGATGCATACATGTAATTTTGAAAACAAGGTGCTGGGTTAATACTTAATGAAAAGTATAAATTTTCAAAACCCAGACTACATTGCCCAAACAATGGTAGTCACTGTGGTTATTCAGCAAAAGATGTAACCAGCAGTCATTTGCACATCATCCAGTCCATAGACCTTAACTTCAAGCAGTTCTGAGTTCATTCAGAATCTTCACACTTGGATTTGTCTTTTAATTAAACTGATATGCTTGGCTTCAATATCATTCTCTCACTGTCAGCATGTCTCCACTCTTGCTTTCCAGATGTTGACAGTGTAGCATAGAATGTGTCTCAAAGAATGTTCTATTCCGATTTTGCTACTTTGTGCATGTGAATGCCTGGAAATCCTCTTCATTAGAGTTGAAGAACTGTCAGTTTTGGTCTGAGTAGGCCGTTTGGCTGATATTAATATGAGAATAGCATTACTGCATTGAATTAACAGAATTTTGATGCATACCAGGGAGTACTATGGTAGTTGTGAGTAATGAGAATTTTGTTCAGAGATTCACATTTAATCGACAGTTCCATTTGGTACCAATACCCTGACCTTGGATATCTTCCGGACAGCTTGTAGTATGGTTTGCTCTGAAAGAAGTGTTAGTTACACAACATTTCTAGTAGCAGCAAAGCTCAAGAGAGTCTGTTTTTATTTATTTTTCCCATGTTTGATGAAGCAGGGCCATCTCTCATGGTCCACGTCCACTATTGTATTGCAATCTCTCAATAGGTAAAAATGTGCTGCCTTAGGAATTCTGCTGATGGT